AATATGATCTTCGTTATAACGAGATCGCTCGATATAATGAACTTTCGATAATATGAACCTTTTGGTCCGGCCCGACGACATCATCTTATCGAGAGTTACTGTGTATATTTTTTCCATAATAAATAAACCAGGGAACGTGTAAATATTTAATAAAGTAATTACATAAAATTCTCATTATTTCCGCCACTACTGTATATGCTGTAGAGCAAGTCTGAGAACTTAAAAGTATTTTGATTCTGGATAGAAATAAAACTGACAGCACATCATACATCAGCAACAGTTAAGGATCTCTGACCTGACTTCATGTGCTGGCTCAATACTATATTAATCATGTTATGGTTTATATTCATCACATTCTGGTATGATAAAGTGAGCATTAAAATAACAAGTCTATGAGCACCATTATTACTTTTCAAACGTCATCAGTCATACTGATCAATTTTACAGCCACATCATAATCAGCCTCTCATTTATATCACATAGTAATAGTCAAATGTTCACTTTGTCTGGTTTTGTTGCAGTCTGCCCCAAATCACAATGAGATGAATATGTTGTATGTAAATCCCGTCAAATGTCCCTAAAATTTCTTACTATAACTAAAGACCCCAAAATAAAACAATCATTCAATACCATAATCCTATATTAATCTTATATTCATCACATTCTGGTATGATAAAGTGGGAATTAAAATTACAGGTCTATAATAATAAGTTATGAATGAGCACTGTTATTATTTTGAAAATGTCATCAGTCACACTGGTCAATTTTACAGTCACATCATCTCATTTATGTCACATAATAAAATGTTTAGTTTTGTTGCAGCCTGCCCCATTTATTAGAATGTCAAAAGCATTTGTAGAGCGCATTTATCAAGCTCGAGACTACGCGAAATGGTGCCATTGCCGTAGTTAGTATATAGTTCAGACGTATTGACTATTTGGCTTCATCACACTCTGACGCTGCTGGAAGATTGCACTGGTGGACAAATACGATAATAGGCCGCGCTTGTTTCTTGCCGGCGCTAAACGTTGTCTGATGTCAGAGATTTCTCGAATTTTCTACTTATTAAGTTTACTTTATTCAGATGGGAAAAACTGTGTTGTTTGCTTTCTAATAGCTTGCCTAAGACCCTTGTCGTTCATTTTACTGATACGCCATGCATGATGAAAATCACGTAAGTTTGTTGCACATGACACTAACGTACGTGTATTTGCCGAATTATCAAATCTAAGTCCCATTATGGTATCTTGGCGAAAACGAAATATCGTGTCACAGCGAAATTGTTTTAACTGGTCAAACGCTGCTAATAAATTGACCCGTGTACACTTGAACTTCCGAAAATAACTTAATTTGATCGTAAAATAGTCCACTTAAATGTGATAGCTTTGTTCATAGACAGGGACAAGCATGATCTCGTCGGTTCCCAGGGCTTGAATTTGTGATATGGCGAACGCCATTTATCCATTATCAATAACTCAAAATTTGATTTCCTTTACATGTTAGTCACAATTTGTTATTATAAATTAGCGAACTGATAATTCTCCACAGCCATAAAATTAACAATTCCCATCATAAGGTTGTTTGTATTAATGTAGTGCATGTTAAAACGTTCTGTTGCACAAATTCACATGAAAGTGCATTGTTTGTGGTTTGACCTAAGTATGGATGAAATAGCAAAGGGGTAGGTGAGGTGGGGGGGGGGGGGGGGGAATAGGCGAAATGAAGAACATATATGCTGTTATTATGCTGATACAACTTCACATGTACCGTTAGAGATATATAAATACTAGTATGCTCAGAGAATATGGAAGTATCTTGTGCAAGTATTGATCGTCTCTTGTTAGTAACAGTGTACCGTCCATAACAAACCACCAAAATTAGCTAGCTTGTCTTCAATTCAAAACCACACTGCGTGTGACTATCTGTGGAGAATGTTCTTCTATAAACAATAACGGAGCTTACTTTATAATAAAATTCGTTCTACTAGCATTCCAACATTATACACAAATGCATAGTAATATGCTCGTAATTTGAAAGCGAGACGAATTGTTTTGTTTTGTTTTTGACGATGACTTAAATGGTTGCTACCCCACCCCATTTGAACTTGATTGTCGACGGCTTAATTTGTTGTTCTGTAACTCCTTCACTTAACAATAAAATCTACTATTAGTTTGCACTTTATATTATGTGCATGAATGTTTTACGCCGGATGCATTACCAAGGTTAGTCGTAACCTTGGTATGTGCATGTCCAATGCTCATGTTAATATTCCAAATCCCGCAACTTTGACTTTAAACTCGATAATTGTTACTAAACAGTTCTAATTACTTCATTTAGATTATTTATATTGCGGTAATATGATCAAGATGGGTATTAAGTAAATATGAAAAGGAAAACAATTACTTCCCCACAAAGGAAAGATGAGCATGAACAATAAAACGTTTAATAATATTTTAGCGGAGAACGTTTCATGAAAATGAGTACGTGTAGAAACCAAAAAATTATCATGCTTTCAAGAAGAACAGTCTCGTCGTTTATTGCCTTTGAATACCATAATCGTGGCAAAGTGTATTGCGGCAATATCTGATCATTCCCATTATGCCGTCTAAAGCGGCCCGCATTGTCTGCTTTGTTTATTATATTTATATGGTGAATATAAAAAGATTTGTTCGTCATACCCGTGATATACAAGATGTCCGCCAATCTTTAAATAGCAATTCTAAAATAGGTATGGCTAAATGCTTATCGTACGCTTATGGTAAACTAGTGTTTGTGTACGAGCTTTTCTTCGGTTTTTAATTTTTTATCTGCACATTAACCAATCACCTTTTGCTGTTATATATTAGTATGAGATGTTCGTTTCTCGGCTACTACTGTAAACCATGTGCTTGCTTCTCCTCCTTCAACCATTACTTTCCAATCCTTACTCGCAATAGTCCATTAACTAATAATATAAGCAACACCTAATATTAAAACGAATATTGCAGTAATTATAAGTTGCTTTATATTATACTTACCCCTCCCTTTTAACATGCACACTATCAATCATAATGTCAAAATACATACGAGCCGAAGACCCACCACAATAATATCCGTTTACTCTTCCCATTTCATTTTTCTCTTTCTCATCGCATTCACAACTATCCTGGTACATTCAGCTGGCTCGCCTGTACCTGGACCACGAACTAATCATTGTGCCGTTACGTGGACAGACCCAACCGGGACTGCATATTTATACGTATATGGAGGAACGGGAGCCTCAGATTCCTCTCCATTTTCGCGCATACAATTACCGCTTTCTTCATCTTATTCCAATGCTTCGTGGACAAGCCTCTCGCAAGACAACATGCTTGTCTTATCTGAGGCAGCATGTATAGTTTCACCCGACAACAAATATCTCCTGGTTATAGGAGGAACACTGGCGAATGGAACCACACCCACGACTAGGCCATTCCCCTCTGCGCTAGGAATTCAAGCATTTGATCTACAACTTAATATATGGATAGCACCCCCTATAATAGATAGTCCAACCGACGCCGTCGGTCCACTTCTAAGCGGAAGAAGAGGGTCGGTGGCTGCAAGCTATATGACTGGTGGGGCCAAGAGAGTCGTAGTATATGGTGGATCACATCCGAGTGGAGCTGATAACAACCACCCCCGCACTTTTATTCTCAGTATGGACTCGGATGACAGGTGGACATGGGTTCCGAGAGTCTACGATAGCTCAACCCCTCCTCCTCTTCAATATCCGGGGATATCTCTGATAAATAACAACCAAATCATCATAATAGGAGGACAACTTTTAAATAGCCAAGGCACTCCTGTGACACCAGTAACTGATGTCTATACATTTGATGGTGCAGCATTGAGGTGGGCGGGGAAGTCGGATAAATCGCTCAAGGCTCCCGTATGTTCCACGTGTCAAATAGCAGTAGGGAATAACAATCAGATATCTCTTTATGTGATACCCGGCGTATCCTCTACAAACACGTCTGCATTCAACATTCAAGTTCTCTCTTTGGACAAGACAATTAAGCAATCCACTATCCTAAATCAGACGGCTGCCGATAGTGTTTACGGTCCAAAATCACCTACATTTGCCTATGCTTCATTAAAGGACGTAATGTACATCCACGGAACTAGCGCAACAATTAATAACATAGTCCAATTCAATTTGACGTCAGGAGCTTGGATACAAGATAACTCGTTTTTGGTGACAGCTAATTCGACGTCGCAGCCAAATACTACGCCTCCACCAGCACCGATTGTTTCAACAAAAAAATCATCCTCGACTCTTCCCATAATAGTGGGTTGTTTAATAGGAGTTTTAGGATTGTTTGGCCTAATTGCTCTATTCATGTACCGACGCCGGCTCAAGGAGAAAGCTGGGAGTGGTTACGATGACAGAAAAGTATCTGACGATACTGATAATCTGGTAGACGACCAGGAATCTGTGAGTGCTATTGCTAATCCGAGAGACTTCCTATCTAACTTGATGCGTAGATTGAGTTCTCTTAAAACTGTTAGTGTGCAACTGGTTGATGAGGAGAGATCAGATAAGCGTCAGTCAAGTGAATTGGACAAATGAGAGCTGTTTCACTATTTCTGGACGTCCTGCGACGTGTTAAAATTCTAACGAGTTGGAAGTTGATTGTGTCTTTATGATTGTAGAAAATAATAGTCCTATTTGTATCGAATAATTGTATAAATAATAGATAGATAGATATTATTTTATTTGTCGTATTTGGTGATTATATTTGCTGCAATCAATAAGGTTGTTACATAACTCCCTAACTTCAATCAGTGTGCTTAGATTATCGTATTCTCCTGTAATTAATTCTAATGAAAAAAAAGGTTAAAAGAAACGAGATACCTTGTTTCTTGTGAGTTTACTCCTATATATGACCTCTTCGTACTTCAATAAAAATCTCAAATCGAATAACTGTCAAGAAATTGCAAGAAAAAGGTTGCTAAAAAGCAACCTATCGGTAGATTTGTCGTTTATTAATTCATTAATATTAATAGAGCGTCTTATATCACTGGTTCCTTTTTTACTTTACAACTTACGTTACTATAGCTCAAATTTCTTGTATTATATTGGGTGTAACCTTGTAAAAATTATTCTATTACTATAGTTACGTGGATGCCGGAAGGAATGTTCTCCATGAGGAAATATCCGTTATGTTATCTCGCCGACTTTGACTAATTCGTGCTTTCATAATCTCTTCGTGTACATGTTTTTACTTATAAAAGACGCGACCATTTCTTCGAGTCGTGTGACGAAAAATGTCGCATTCTTATATCACATGATCAGCTGTACTGGCGGGTAACACAACCCGAAAGCCGAACATATTACTAACCCAAGTAGGACAAAAGGTAGTAATGCGCGAGTAACAAATGGGACATCGTAACATACAGTTATAGCCTTTACAATACTCACTACTACAACGACAATGACTTAAAAGAACTGGTCAAGTTCGTAGCAAATTATCGTGCTGACGACTATTTCAATACAAGATATCCAACCTATATATGGCAAACCGAAGAACTGATTCAGTCGATGATTGCATATGACATATCGACTTCTGATAAATACATCCATGCTAAACGTGCAGTTGTAGCAAAGTTCTACGTCCGTGCATCCGCAATTTTATATTTCCGATGCATACGGGAAAATATGAGCCCAATATAGTTGCGAGTTTATTATACAGAAATGAGAATAGTATTTTTGACACAGTCAGTCGTATCCCATTCCTCGTCTACATAGCATATATTATTACTGCAGCAATTATTTAAGATTTGTCAATACTGCTAGTGTCACCTGCCTGTTTTCCATAACAAAGGTAAATGACCGGGGGAAAGCGGTCTTTTCATTAACAATTAACGCATTGTATTTCGTCATTGCGTTAATCTTCTTGCAAATCAATGAAAATGGCCGAGGGCTTAGTGTACATCTCCAGGTCCATATGATTGCAAAAAAAATAATAAATTTTTGGACGCATGGCATTGAATCTGTAATGTGCCTGCTTATAATTTTTCCCCTCGATTTTTATTGCAGATTCTCAGCGAAAGGTATATCATGACATAATTGTCATAGACCTATTGGCAACAGACGTTATGGTTACTAAACAAAATTTTACTTCCACGAAAGACAATATTACGTAAATCGTATTCACGTTAATATTTTGTATTTCGCACTTCCTCAACTGGCAAGAAATAACAATAATCGTTTACAATTTTAATTCTGGACTTTAATGATTTTTTTATAAATTTGATTCTCTTGAGAAAAGTACTGATATTTACCGATACCACCAATGGTAGCAAAAGAGATGAGATAATTTTTAAGCTTACTTGACCTAGTAACAACTTTTTATAAACCAAACAACACTTCGTACTGTTTTTGAAGAATATTTTCTATTACTCATAAATGTGATTTCATAATAAATTATTCGAATTTTGAATTGCAATTCGATTGTGTTATCTACCTCTTGCAGCAATAATAAACGCTTTACAACTCTATAGTTATGCCTTGGGTTTGTAAACTGCATGCATGTTATTCAAATAGACTGGCAAGAACAGCAATAGTTTTAATGTATTATTCAAATATCTCTTTACAGAATTTTTGGAATCTTAATATTTTAAACGAAGGCCGACATCCATAGTCTTGTTCACATTATAAAATACAGATTTCATATATACTGTAATACGGAACGAACTACAATCGTGACAAACAATTGCACGAAAGAATTTCGACGGGCATGCAATTTATTCGGACAGAAAACTAGGTCATTAGCTGTGCGAGACCATCACAACAAGAGCCGCCAGACGGTATAGAAAGTGTGGACATTGTTTTTATTAGACATAAAAGTGATTTGTTAACGGTCACCCAAGGCCACCGAAATACATTTGCTGACCCAGTGAGATTGGAATAAATTTGAATAATAGCATATTGTTCAAGTGTCAAAATGCGAGATCACAGGCAAACAACGAAATGTGACAAAGAAATCGAAAGCATGTGACTACATAGTCACCCGATCTGCAATGCTCGTGACTAAGAGACGCGTATCCCACAGACATTCTCTTTCTAAAGACAATGCTTAGACAACAAACTTCTACGCTTATACGTGAATATGGAACTGGTGAGGTTAAAAGAAACAATAAGCGTTACCCACATTATCTTAACTTTTACGATATACCGCCAATGGACAATATTAGTATAGAGGAATTTGAGAAATTTGCTTTAGACAGATTACAAGGTATGCAATATACTCTGAAATACAAATAACGTAATAAAGTTTGTTCCATGTATTCATTACAATCCTTATGTAACGCGAATAGTTTTGAAAGCTCTGGAAGCAGCAACATTACGCAACAAACCAGAAAATGAAGTTAAAGAGCATCTCCAAGAACTTTCTAAACAGTATCTTCCTATGCATTCTAACGATTCCGAACGAGTTTATCCGCTTGACGAAGAGAGACGCAAGGATCACGTGTCTCATTTTATATTGCGATTGGCTTATTGTAGGAGGTTGACTACATCTCGAATCCGCGTGTTTGGAGAATTGACTTTAGATATTGTCGACTGATTTACTTTATTATAGTGAAGAATTACGATCGTGGTTTCTTAAATACGAATACATACTGTTCAAGTACGTTACATCAATTACATTAGATTCACGGCAGTTTCATCGATTCACATTAGTTACATTTTACAGGTTAAGATATCTAACAGTATCGACTAAAGAGAGACAAGAGTTTTTGAACCATCAAAATTTAACATGGAAAATCGTAAGCTTAAGAGTTTTCGCGTCTATTTGACTTGTGTTTATAATCAAACACGTTCTTTTTTCTCCAAAGTTAAGTCGATCAGATAAAGACATGATGAAGGCAGACTTACAAGCCGCGTCTCCACACGTTGTTGTCGATACAGAAACGTTTTTTGAGGTAATTTAGCATTCAATCTGTCTATGTGACGCAAGGACCGTACTAAGTTATGAGCATACATGGATATAGGTCGAGTTTGAAAAAGTGCTCGACATGGTAGCACGTCGTTCTGTTCATTTGCGTGGAGGCACAGCATATGTACCTATATCTGATCAAGTGACACTTGTTATGGATGAATTCAAAAATAGATTGGCAAAAGCTCTCGAGGTATAACATGGTATTTATGGTTTGAATTCTTGCATGTTGTTCAAGAATTGACGCTTAGTTGATTGCAGATAACGGCGAAAGAGTTCCCTAAACTTGACGAGGATGATAGGATTATGCCAATACTTAATAATATTAATAGATATTATTTGGGAAACAGCTTTGCCAACTCCACGAAAGTTACTGGCAATATAACTGCGTTTGACGTGGATAGGGTATGGTATATACTGTGAGTAATTTAACATGTTGATAAACATGAGCGTTAATTCTATTTGCCGGCAGCTCGTCGAACACTTTCCGCTATGCATGAGACATTTACATCGAAAGTTACGCGACGATAAACACTTGAAGCATTACGGTAGAATGCAATATAATCTTTTTCTCAAGGTTTAAAATCTACTATTGCGATCGCATATGTATTGTAGTGATACCTTTGTGCTAACAATTGCTTTCATAGGGAATCGGTCTTCCTTTGGAGGAAGCACTTATATTTTGGCGGAAGTCGTTCTCAAAATTTAGTGATGAGCAATTTCAAAAGAATTATGCCTACAATGTGAGACATAACTACGGCATGGAAGGAAAGCGTGTCAACTATACCCCATACAAGTACGTATATCCCGAGTCTAAACCTGCTGTTAAAATACACTTTGCTCATTTCGAAACCAATGGCAGCTGCAGCAAAATTATCAATAATAACCAACCAGGACCGGAGGAACACCACGGATGTCCCTTTCGTCATTTTTCAGAAGAAAGCCTACGTGTAACTCTTGCAAGTGTGGGAGTGAGAAATGACGCTTATATTAGGGAGATTATTAATCTAGTAAGGAATAAGCATTATCAAGTTGCTTGCACGCGATATTACGAAATAACAAGAGGTGGCGAGCGAGGAATGATGGATACAATTGAACATCCAAATCATTTCTTTGAACAAAGTTATAAACTTAGCATCAAGCAAGGTGACTCTTGATGAATTTCGAAATTTTTTATATGACAATTATTAGCAAACCATTTATAGAATAACTGTCGCGTTTTTATGCAATAGAACCAGACGAATAAACATGATGCCATAATGCATTTGCAGGTGGCATTAATAACCGAGCCCCGCATATGCGAAACGAAGCAAATCTTGCTTTCGCTCAAGGGTTCTTAACAAAATACGTTCTAATGTAACCATAATTATTGTCCGCAAGCTTTAGTATGTCGAAATTGTTGGTCCGACAACATTAACCGGACATCCATCTGTCTTGAATAAAAAAAGTCGTGTTTATTTGCAAAACACTGTGTACTTGCTACAAAAATTACTGAGTGACTTCACCTCTCTGATTCCAAATTCAAAAATGAGATAGTCTGCTCAGGAAGACCTTGATTACAAGCAGTTCATTGAGAATCAACCAGTACTAACGGAATTAAAGTTTCGAACCAAACTTCAATGTAAGGAACCATATTCTTAATTTTGAACAGATCATTGTCATCGCACGTTGTGCTTGGAGGTTTGCAATCTTTACCTACATAGAAAACAATGTAAATATGTGATTATTTGACTTTGTATAAATGCTTTTACAGTTTTAGTGTGGCTGCGTTCATTTGACTATTAAAGATTTCTGTTAATTGTAAATAGATGATATATGATGGATCGGGCATGTTTTGGGGTTTACACCTCCAACAATTGTCTTATCATTATCGAGCGGAATTCAAGCTTTGCCCCTCTCAAGTCCTTGGTCACTCCGGCTCGTGCCTAGTCAACAGAGTTTTTGTTTGCTATACAGTTAGCCCTTTCGAATGCACGAGGAAAAGCACGCAAGCTGTTTCCATATCTTGTTAGCATAGCGCGACTTTATGTGTGTCTTATGTAGCGAACGAGGGGGTTCCTAATCAGCCAACTAATTAGCCCCCCTACTCACCCCTATTTCACACGTAAGCATGTGATGAGTGGAAGACACCTTCTTGATTGGTCAACCTAGCATCTATTAGATTTTTAGTGGATCAAATGTTGTGCACGGAAAAACCAGCCGACACGGTCGCACTAATTACGTAAATACGTAATTGTTATGTAAGACGAGCACATCCTAACTTCCCCTACACAAAGCACCTTGATTATTACGAAGCGGTCCCACCATACGTTTTTTTTGTTGAATAGCGAGACAAAAGCTTTCGCTTTAAGCATATTGTTCAAAAGTACGTAGATGTTCTGTGTATTATTTAAAAGAACGTGTTAAACGAGTGAAAGACTCTAGATGATATCAGTCGTTCTCCAACGTAAGCAGTAAATATCAATATGTCACACCAGTCACCCCACACCCCCGTACTCGAAGCACCAAAGTATAGCAAAACGTATCTATACCCGAAAGCCACCAACATATATCACTATTATGCAAATGCTTACGCGTTCGCCGAAATGGTCACTAAGCAGGCCTGGAAACTGCCTAAACAACAGATTCTAGACGACGCAAACAAAGCCTGGCTTAGTGTGCGCAATTATGACAGGCATAGGATTTACGACGAGATAAACAAATTGTTGAACACACCCATCCCCCCGAGCCCTCCTTATTCGCACGAGTCCGCAGCGCCCGCCGGCTCAACAGAGTCGTCAACTATGGTCTCCAGCAGCCCAAATGCTGACGCACTTACTCAACAACAGCTGCAGCAGGCGGTCACACCTAATTCCCAAACTAGTCAACATCTGTCGATATCCATGCAAGACCATCAGAATTTAGACCCGATGACTTCTACACCAAGACGACAACAACAGTTACATCAACAGCAGACACCGCAACAATCGTCACAGTCGAGTGATCGAACTCGGCCCTCAACAGATTCAGAACGCGCGTCTTCGTTATCTGATCGTTATTCCACTCCCTTATCAACGCCAACATCTAAAAATGCCGCAGCACAGAAACAGGCTCTCCAGGATATCGAAGAAGCTACGCGCAAAGCAGAAGAATACAAGTCTCTTGTTACAATGACTACCGATGAGGATCTTGCCAAGGATTTATATGTAAAAATACAGCAAGCCGAGACAACTATTCTCGAGAATCAAAAGAGATTAAAGCGATTGAAGAGTGGCGCCGAGGCGCAGGAACGTTTCAGACAGAAGCGAAGAAAGAAGACTGAAGATTTGTCTTCCAGCACAACTGAACAGCCGTTCGAGATGCCCGAACCATTGTTGGATACAGGTAGCCATTGTATTTCTTTTTGAAGTAGCGCGTTATGTATATATGGGTGGTAAATAGATTCGTAGACTGCATTGGCGATGATCAGAAAGTATGATAGTTTATCCGTTTTTTTTTTTAACATCTGTTCGATGTTATGCAACAGTCGAAATATTATTTAAAAACAACATTTTAGAAATATTATCACGCGTATCTTTGGTGATTGCGTGCAGACCCATAGTCGGATCTCGATTTTATTGTATCGATTGTTAAATACTTTAGGCTACTTATTCGTGTATACAACCAAGACTAACAACTAAAATTTCTTTAAAAGATACGGGATTTTCTTCAGCTGTAGAATCTGCTATCGATGAAATTTCGGAAGAGTTACGAGATATTAGCTTACGCGTATGTTATTTCTTTTAACAATTGCGTAGAATTATTTCGTATTTTGTGTGTTATTCATCTTTCTTTTTCCTTCCTACCGCGTCATATAGATTCATGCGCACCCCGAAACCGCAATGCGCGAAACATATGCACACGAAATATTGACTAAATTTTTAGAAAGCAAAGGCTTTACAGTAACACCGGGTGCTTTCGGCCTGGAAACAGCGTTTGTCGCAGAGTATCATAACATGCCTGAAAGCAAATCACGCACTGTAGCATATATTTCCGAGTATGCAGCTAATTAGTGTCGGCATTAACTTTACTGTATAGCCTTAATTTATTACCACTGAACTGCTTTTTATGTGATTGTAGATACGACGCGCTACCAGATATCGGTCATGGTTGTGGTAAGTGATCAGTTCAATGCGCGAGTCGTTAAAAACATTACACGATATGCTAAAATGCTTTCGCTTTATTGGTAATTGCTGATATATCACAGGACATAGTACGTATTAGTAGTTTGTAATTCTTGGAATTTACGTATAAGGCTGGTTCTGAACTTTAATTTCAGTCAGTCGTTCATCGAGAACTTATCCTATAACATTGAATTGCAGATTTGATTGCAATATCCGGAGTAGCTGCTGCATATGGTAAAGGATTAAGGCAAGTCTAGTATCGTACTTGTGTCTTGTAACGTGTATTAACGAAATTTGTTGAACAGGTACAATGTGTGCAATGAGAGCATACAATATTACCGGGAAGGTCGTGCTGTTGGGCACGCCTGCTGAAGGTAGAACTCAAGCCGTCATTTGAATCTAACTGGTGCAGAGACTCAGTCTTATATGTTAAATAGAATCTATCGGTGGTAAAATAAAATTAATACATGCTGGGGCTTACAAGAAGATTGATGCGTGTCTTATGGTCCATCCGGCGTATGTGTTAAGCAAATGGTTTTTTTTTCCGGTCGCTTGTTCCCAATTGTTAATTTGCATACATTCTTATTTGTGCATTTAGTCATGCAAATGCGCTTTATGGTGGTTATTTGGCTCTTGCTAGCGTACGCGTTGAATACAATGGCAGAGCTGCTCACGCAGCCGGTAGGTCACACGCTTTAGTTATTGCTACACGAATAATTTGCCATTAACAACCAATTTACCTATTTAATGTAGCTGCACCATGGGAAGGTTAGTTTGAAAATACTGGTCTTGTACAATGGTCACATATAATGCGTTTATTGATGATCGAATGCATTTAGGAGCAAATGCGTTAGACGCAGTAGTGCTCGCGTATAATGGCATCTCGATGCTTAGACAGCAAGTGCCCCCAACTACCAGGTATGCCATGTCTACATTCCGATCCTTGTTTAATAGTTGACCTAATGCTTTTCTCCCAAAATCGTAGGATACACGGCATAATCACTGACGGAGGGAAATCGCCAAACGGTAATGCCTGTATTTATTGTCAGAAAGCATTTGATTTTCATCATAGATGGCATTCTCTAATTGAGTTGATTTTATAGTCATACCTGATCACGCATCAGCATTATTTTTCATAAGAGCTGCGACTGGTCTTCAACTTATTGCACTGCGTCAAAAGATTACTGCATGCTTGGAATCAACTGGAATGGCTACGGGATGTTCGACGAAATTGACTTGGGAACAAGAATATTATGGTCCGTGCAAATATTTGCTATCTGGTTGATACTTGCCCTTGCATAGATTATTGAGTTACGAACTTGTAATATATTAGATGTACTTGTCAATGAGCAGTTGGCTGAACGTTTCGGAAAATATATGACTGATCGCGGAGTGAAATATCTTACAAAGGCTGAAGAATTAAAAGTTACTAAAGCGTCTACAGATATGGTAGGGCTGTTTGGCTAAGACTTAATTCTCGTCAATGACATTTTGTCACTGTTATTTGTGCTCATATATACTGCTAATTCCAGGGAAATGTGAGCTATGAGGTTCCAAGTATTCATGCAGTGTAAGTTGCCGCAGTCATCTGTTGATCAACATTATTATTAAGTGTTCACTATTTGCAACTGCCTTCGTTATTTTAGATATAGCATTGGAACGACCCACGGTCTTCATACGGCAGAATTTGCCGAGGCTGCGAAAACATCACAAGCACATAACGCAACGATGCGAGCAGCAAAATGCTTGGCTTTAACAGGTTTGGATGTTCTAGTGGACGATCAACTGAACAAAGAAGCGCATAAAGAATTCAAAGCAGCCATACTTGCGCAGAAGCAATAAATCCACAAAAGTAGTGGTAGACATGACCTGAGTAAGTTAAGATTAATAATTTATAGAGGAGTATAAGAGTTTAGCGTTGTTTTTATCCTACTAGAGAGCGAATTATAGACATTTGTCAATATCAAACAAATACCAAATTACTAAATAGGTTAAATTTTGGCGATATTGGTGATTATACCCTGCCAGATATTTTTGTAGTAATAAAATAAACTTTTGTAAATTCAACGGTGTAAGACCCTTAATATTAACGAGGCTACGCGTAAAACATAAAATTTCGATGTTTGTGTAACGTTTGAGAATAATCATGTGCCGATAATCAATTGACGGTTCAATACAATGAGACATTAATTTCAATTTTAACAAGTGTCTCTGCCGAAGCATTAGTTTCAGCGTTCGCCAATAATTATAATAATAATGTTTGCATCGCTCGTCCGGCCGCTGTCTCGGAAGTCATCATATGTTCCTGTTGCTAGATTCAGTACTTCTTTTACAGTAAGAAGTAAGATACAGGATTTTTGTTTTATGAGAACTGCAACTGATTATTTCACTCAAACGACAACGATGCAAATAATTAACGTTTTATCCATTAGATAACGCCACGAAAGAATCAAAGTCGTATAACACCATCTTGGTCGAAACTCGTGGCAAAGTTGGTTTGATTACACTCAACAGAAAAAAGGAATTAAATGCATTGTCTAGTGAATTGTTTCATGAAGTCAATGATGCTTTGGAAACATATGACAGTGATTCCGAGATTGGTGCTATTGTCATTACTGGCAGTGAGAAGGCATTTGCTGGTAAACTTGGCTGCGAGTGCATTGCTGTTTAGAGGGTTGGATCGAATGAGTGTCTTGTTGACCAGAAAAGTCAGACTTGTACTGACTGAATCGATACTGATAAATAAAAAGCTGGGGCAGATATCAAGGAAATGAGAGACAAGACCTTTGCCGAAGTCTATAAAACGAACTTTCTTGGTCACTGGGGAAGGATTAATGACATTAAAAAGCCTACTATCGCTGCTGTTAATGGTTATGCAGTAAGTGATTTTACCTAAACTCGGGCAGACGCTTTTTTTCGACGCACGCCTAAGTCGCAATTGCCTTTGTAGCTTGGTGGCGGGTGTGAATTGGCCATGAGTTGCGACATTATCTATGCCGGAGATGGTGCAATCTTTGGTCAACCTGAAATCAAACTTGGAGTTATACCAGGTGCTGTAATTCTATAGTTGACGACGTATAACGTTGTTTACTAAACAAAGATGATATTCATGTTGATCTTACACACAGGTGCTGGGGGTACGCAACGATTGACCAGAGCTGTAGGTAAATCCAAAGCAATGGAATACGCTCTCTCTGGCAGACCTTTTACTGCTCAAGAAGCGGAAAAGTGGGGTCTTGTGAGTAAAATCTTCCCAAAAGATCAACTGTTAGGGGAGGCCATTAAACTTGCCGAAGAAATTGCAGGATTCTCGCAGCCTGCTATTCAGGCTTGTAAAGAGGCAGTCAACTCTGGTAAATCTTTCAAACTTAAATTATGATAATTATACGTTGAAATTGACATTCATTCGCGCGTTTGTTTCAGCCTATGAATTGTCATTGAAGGAGGGCATGCATTTCGAGAGACGGTTGTTCCAAGCGTTGTTTGCATTGGTAAGAGAACATCTTGTTTATTATCATGACAATAGTTAAGTGAAACTCATTAATAATTCCTATTTCTCATAGAACGACAAAAAAGAAGGCATGAACGCATTTGTCGAAAAACGCGCACCAAAATGGACCAACACTTAGTCGATATCCTGAGCTAATAGAATAGAATATATGTAAATTCGACTGTATTGGTTGAAATAACGTCTAAATGACAATAGAACTTTCAGCGTTCTCATAGTCTTCTATAGCGCAGTCGACTGTTAATTGACGTATCAACCATTAGTGAATGACACTCAAAATAAAAGGGGGTTACCTAATTAACGAATAGGTTCAGCACATTATGATTGTTTTTTTATTCATATCTATTTTATTCCTATCAGGAAATCTCTCACCCTAGCACCAAAGTTCGTCTTTCCGCTGTTTCCAAAAATATTTTCATGACTTCCAACGACCAACTCGTGACATACAGGATTCCATCCTAGCGTTCTTGGTGCCCCTAATGATGTGATGCGCAGCACTAGCCTGCTACAGCTACTATCATGGCTTATTGTGATTTCTCTGTCAGCAAAATATAGGGGGAAAAATTTTTTGTTTAACAGAAAATGTCATGTATGCAACTTTCGACGAGCAGCACACTAAAAAAACGTGCCAATCAGATCAGTTACTCGTCTTGATATACTCACATAGGGCGCCTCCAAATACTGTTCTTGTCTCTTTTGGGCATATGTTCAATTGTGACTGGTGTAATGGGAATATGTCTCGAAATAATCAATGCTGCTCTATCCACTACCCAGTCCCCTTCCCACACGCTACCAGCGATAGCCAACTGAGTCAGTTCCCGATAGACTATTTTTAGCAGCAAATGTCTAAACTCGCGGGAAAGGAACACGGAAAATTCATTCAATTCACGCGTTCGAAGGGTGGCATGCGGAAGATGGATCACTACCGTTGAGGGTGACTCGAGCATAAAACGAAGGCTGTATCTATAATGAAAAAAAGGAAAATTGCAAAAGCAAAAAACGCGATATCTTTAGCCGATAATATTTGTGTGTCTACATTAAGCGTTATAATTTTAGAGAGGAGCAATAAATTTGTGTAGACAGTAACCTGTGATCAACTGTAATGATATACGTTCCAACAAACAGTTCCTCTTTACTATCCTTTCTCCTTTCCTTCTCCAGACCTCTTCTCCGCCCGCTTTCATCAGACACTTTCGCACCAATCAGTTCTCCGGTCTTCTTCAAAATATCATCAACAAACACTGCACCGCCAGTTAAGCTAGTGAGACAATGTATCTCCGCTGGAAACCCTCCATTCCGTAGAGGCTTTGTGGTGTTTGTTATAATTTCGCGTACACTCGTGCAGAAGAAGTAATACTTAAGTAAATGAAGTGGTTGTGAGAGAACTTGTCCGGTCATGGATGGAGATGGGTTGCGATCCTTGGCCCTATATTGATCGTTTGATGATGGGGATTCGGTACTTGGGCTATTGAGCGGATTGGCAAATAATAAGAGGTCAGCATGCAGCAGGCATGAAAAGTAGATCGTTCTTAAATAATGTGAAGCACTCATAACCTACCTGTCTTTCCAACCACTTAAGACGCGTCTTTGCTGTTTCTCAATATTTCGTCGATGGTGTCGTCTCAATAACAGATCCATAGCCAGTTTTAAAATCGAACACGTAGATGATTCTTCCACACGTGGTATATCCTGCATTGGAGATATCGGCTGTTCTATTTGATGACTTTCATCCGTGACTAAGCTAGCCTGAGAAAGAGAATAATGGTGGCAATTACTTTGTGAATCTTGCGTAAAGGTCTATTAAATTTGCGAACTTTATGACGACCTACCCGTTCGATGATCAAATCGATATTATCATATACAGGAATTGAAATTTCATTTTCTATCATTTTTGAGCCTGCCAACGTCCCTGCTTCCTGACTTATCTGAGTTTTGTTGGGAGCGACAAATTAATACCTTAACATTACGCAACTTTCTCAAGTGATTAGTGATTATTAGATATTGAAGCAATACGGAAATTCTTTTGGGAAAGGGGAGATGACTTGTTTTGCATACTCAAAGGCCAAATATTTGACAGATAACATATTCACTTTAAGTTCTAATCGGTTTCCATGAATATTTCCATTTCCATCAATTATCTGATGATAGTGGCTTGTTGTAGAACATATTTACCATAATTAAAACAAACCTGGTCAAACAGCTCGGCTTCGAATATTGCAGACTGAGCAGCAAGGAGTTGTTCATGGATTTCTAATCCAGAAGGCGCGTTATTCTTGAATGCTGATTCAGAAATTATATATGGTTGGTCTTATATATACAATTTCATATATGCAAATGCCTTACATGTTAACGATGTAAAATAGCTTACAGGAATTCACTTGAATAGCGTCAGTCTCTCCTCTGAAGGGAGAGTGTTCATACCTTCGCTCTAGTCGTACTTTTACAATTTTCCTTGGTTTTTGCGGCAATGATAACACGATTTGTTTCCTCCCGGGCGTTCTAAGTATCTGGGCAAATACTGGATTTTCATATAGTGAACCAGCTGTGAAAGTATGTGGAAATTATACGCATGGATTGTTAAGGAAGCAGTCTAAGTATATCTAGTCTAATCATACATTTCTTTGAGGCAACGAAGGAATTTCATGCTCATGGAATAAATATGGCATATAGTTACCATTATGGTACCCATAATTTACAGATATCTGCTTTCCAGCAAGTCCAGCACCCATGCACCAATTATTCTGCCTTAACAATAACGCTTCTGACCAGAATGTACGTTCATTATCTACAACAACATTAAGATTCTCTGCTCTGGATAATAGCATGTCAGCTGCTCCACGTAATTGCTAGAACCGAGCAAGGTAAAAGCTGAAAATTAGCAACATTTGAGTACTACTTATTCAGACATTGCCTTCCAACACTGTATATGAAATGAATCTTTTCGATCCAAATCTTTAAGTTAACATCCTCATACCCAAGTTTCATGGAGAATACCTTTCTCTTTGATCCTAATATCAGTTTGACATTCTGCACCCGAGCAACTTTATTTGGTTTTGGTGGATTTTGATAACGATAATCAATTGTTCCTGCTGCGACTGGTAGCGGAGTTGTAGGATTGAAATTTTGGTTAACGCTTGCTAATATAGCGTTCAGCAGACCTATTCCAACTCCCATCTCATTAGACGATTCTCTGCAAATCAAATCATTACAGGTTATAGAATCGAAAGCATTTAACAGTTTAAGTAAATTTTGTAAGCAATAAATACTGATATACAAACCCGACAGCATTTATTATATGGTGTCTCATAAGTACTAATTCATCATGACGTTTCGGCCCAAGTGCTTTCTCTTCCTCCTTCTTTTCTGCTTGATCAGTTGTGTCAGCTGCTGCTGTGCCAAGAGAGTCTAGTGTCAGTGTAGGGAAGTGGCGTTCTTCCCACACTTTTGGGATCTGCCGTGCAAGTTTGTCTTTTGGTGTCTGTTTACTAGTGAATAATGATCAGGTTGGTGAATTATCCGGTTGTGAGAATTATCAATTAGGCTTAGGAATATTGAACACTTGGATACAAGGTGGCACATACGGAGCATATCTCTCGACCCCTTGATCAGAGACATCAAGTGAGGCAGCCTCAAGACGCGGTTCTAGAGAAACTCGCAGGGACTTGATCAGTGGTTCATTCATCCCTACTTTATCAAGTCCTTTGCTTTCGTGAAGTTCGATTTATGGAGGGTTTGTACAACAAACCTACAATGACGTAAGCATTCAGTAAATGCTAAGACGCGAAGAAAGTTATGTTGGACTTGTGGAAGCTCTAGTCTTGCTATGTATTTACACTATCGATTAAGTTCGACGATATCTTGTATTATATCAGCGAAATTGACTTAGACAGTTGATTGTCGTAATGAAAATTTGAATTATACCCTCTATGTTACAGTATTATAACATCTGCATAGTAACAGTTGTGGTTGGATGAAGGATTGATAACACATCATCACCGAGACGAAATAGGTTGTCAGGCAAAAAAATAAAAACGAATGTTTATCACGCGTGACTTTTCTAAGTCCTGATTGAAGCATGGAAATACAAGTGTAAAGGGCTACTTGGGTTATTGAGGCTATCGAGTTCCCACAAAGCGAAGTCAATAAACTCACGGATGAACTAGACAACGGATTGAAGGGTCAAACAAAATAATGCCGAAACCAACTGAAGATGAACGAGCCAATAAAAGAGTTGACTTTACTGAGGAAGTATTAGTTATTGCCAAAATAGAAAAGCTCCAATACAAAGCCGATGAGACGAAACTATTAGCTCAAACATTATTCAAACTACCCAAAAGCTTCTTCCGGAAAACCCAACTTTGAATGAATGTCATACATCAACGTGGTTTTGGAGCACAAACCAGTGGATTTTCCTGTGTAGTCTGTAAATGACGGTTGCTAATCGAAAGACGAAGCAATTAATAGCTTGTTTTGAAAAAGTGGCCCTACATATCAGAGAAGCTAATTTACCAACACCCATTACATAATTGATGATTCACAATACAATGATCATCTCAATTGACAAACCGTTTCCTTAATAAATATTCAGCTTAGCTGTTATAACTTTTGGACTAATACACTATGTGACGTCACAATTGTTTCATATGTTATATAATTATAGATTCGTTAATATTGTGGGCGTATTCCATATGCCTCGTTCTGTTCTCTTTCTGCTCAACCAATATGTATTCCTTTCTTAACTACTTCCACCTAAACTTGGACAACGTTCTTCGAATTTCATCTTTAATCTTTCTTTGTGCTCTGTCCGCGAAAATCATCTTTGCGATATGGGAGCCTAGCAGTTTCAGAGATATCGGAAGCACGAGAACAACTGACACGAACCTGATTGACTATGATCCGTATTGGATGACTGAATGGAATAAGATGGTAAGAGACATGGATCGATCGCTGGGTAGAGTGTTTAATGATATCAAGAACATCGAAGCCTTTCCGGTTGTGGACGGTAAATAATCAATTAGACAGCAGATAGTATTTTTATGTGCTATGGCTTACACTATGATGATTCTCAGTAACCGATGCAGGAAAAGAAGTTGTTGTGCATGGTATGTACGTACTACATGTATTTTACTTCATATAACTCTCACTTTGGCTCATAATACCTGTAATAGCCGAACTTCCCGGTATTCCCAAGGAAAATATCAAAGGTAATATTGATAGTCCGTTCACACATCGCGCAATTTATCAAATCATTTATCAAGCTGGTTTCGATTGCAGTTGAATTACTGGGAGATATGTTAACCATTTCCGGCCATGGTGCTGAGAACAAAGATTACGAAACGGCTTCAGGATGGATTCGGGAACGTAGATGTGGTAGCTTTACGCGTCGGTTACCCATACCTCGTGGTGTTGATATTGATAAGGTTGCAACGAAATTTGAGGACGGACTTTTAGAACTTAGAGTAAGTATAATAATCTTCTGTCGATCTGCTGCTGTTGACGTAATTACAAGGATTTATTTGATAATTAGATTCCGAGACGTGATGGAGCAAAGCCCATTGTTAGAAAAATTGATGTCCAATAGCATAAGCTTTATAATCGTTCCAACTTACGATAATCAATTCAGCCGACTCCTTTCGTATTTTGTCTTGTTTAGAACTTGTAAACGGTTGCAAAATAATTCTAAAGCATCGTTTTAATGAACGCAGTCGCTAGTCGTACAAGATATGGTACTCTACGTCTTTCTGAGTCGAACGTTGCATCTGTCACTGGCTTTGAGTATTTTTGCAAATTGCGTACTTCCTATAAATAACAATTTGATTCATAATTATATAGTGCGCTAAGATATAACTGTGACACAAACTGTTTGATGCCTGCCTTATCAACCGCTTTCCGTAAGTTCTCGTTTCTAGTTAACAGAATCACTTCAGCTTCAAGGTCCCTTTCTGTTGACCTGTCCCCGTAATTTGGCGATCCGATAAAAGTTACACAAGGATATCGATTATCACTCATATAAATCCACAGTCCCTTTGCATGATAAGTCCATTCAGGGCGTTTGTATTCACTGATTTTAATTAGATCGCGTTTCTTTGTTCTCACTATTTCGTTATAAAATTGCCTTTCTAATAGAGCGTACGCGTGGGGAACATATTTTGATATACCATCCGAGTTGAAAAATCCATTGGCCTGCAATAGAAGATATTGAGATCGACAGCTTTTCGGGACTTGCACAAAGATCCAACTTAAAATTTCTGTAACTTGCCTCGGGTGATGCAGTAATTATTTCAAACTTTGCATCAGAGTTTAAAATCTTATGCCTGTATTTCCGAGAGATATTAAAATAACCCGATGTGAATACAACTGTCCATAAACTGCTTTCTCTAGCACGCAAGCATCCCTGCCGATGAACTACATCGAGAACGTTTAAGAAAGCCTTTTCATCTTGTCTGATTCTCAGTGGACCCATTTGAATTGCAGGAAATATGACTGTATCGACTGGGATTTCGTCCAAGGGTTTAAGATCACCATCCTTTGACTTCTTCATCCAGCGCTGAATAAACTCTGTCATTGCAAGGTTAGCATTTGATCTAAACAAAGTGTTTTGACTTATTGGATCATTCGCCTTGGGGGTCTCTAGCGCGAATGTTGAATCATCCGCCGGTTGAAGTTTGTATGAAAAGTATTCAATTGTTCGGAGTAAATCTGCAAAATAATCAGCTAGACACGGTAAGTTCTTGAATATTACATATCGATCTTGGCGATTGGTGAAGTAATTGCGCGATAAGTTTGCTCTAGATAAATTTAAACGTTTGAGATAAGCGTTCTTAGTTAGGACATGACCATCTTCATCCAACTCACCCACTCAAGATAATATCATCATCAAATACAAATGCTTTAATGTGCATCAATCCAATGCTTTCGTTGAACCGCGAAGGGAGTGTTTTTTTCAATAATCCTGCTAAGTCAGGCGTATGATACATCGATACTACTATTCTGTCAGGGAAATCTCTAACTAGTGGAAACAACGAATGTGCCGTGGTATCCTGTATACCATTCGGACCGGGTCGAGTAGAACGGAGATAGTCAACCAGTATATGAACTTGAAGATTTGCTGACGTCTCAAGCGCTTCCCGAATAGTAGCAAACTGGTGTTACAAAACGTTAAAACTTGTCAATATTATCATCAGGTCTCCGTAACGCGTCGTAACAGCACTCACAAGTTCGTGTTCATTTGATCCAATGTACAATGCAGCTAATAAAATCCTTTTCTTCGCCAAGAGGAAAGATTTCTATTCGTCCACCGATAATAAAGTTTCTTATCTTAAGTGTCAGGCGGATGACCCAAATGCAGTTCATTTTCATGGTCAAATACCTTCAGCTCGTTGTAGAAAATCTTCGGTTCGTTCAAAAGAGTAATTTGTTCGCCATTTGCATAGAATGCAGGTGCTAAATCACAAAGTGGTATGAAATCATTGAAAAGCTTTTCTTGCCATAAGTTACGATTATCAGGATTATTATTAGCCAGTGTATGTGCAGCTAAAGTTCGTGTTCTGTACAATAAGCGTGGTAAAAATTTCGCTCGTTGATAATGTCTTCTGAGATAATAAGAGTCATATCTAATTGTCTTCAAAATTGAATCCAGCATTCGTGAGTAACTCGATTCTTTGCATATATTCAACATCCTTGGAAAACCTGATGATTAATACATTAGAGAAAGCAACGTCTGATCAGTCATGTTCTATCAAGAGATTAATTGTCGTCATTTGTATTTGACAACGAGAAACCTGTCAATTTTTGTGTGAACAATATATGATTGGTTCACCAAAGTTTTAAACTACAGACATACCTTTATAAGCAGCTTTTATATAGTCACAACCCCATGTAGTCACATTTTGACTATAGCAACAGATATATTAACGATATATGTAGATTTCCACCTTTTTAGTCACATCACGTGAACAAAGTATTTAAGTTAGTTGTTTCTTCATTCAAAGAACTTTAAGAAGCTCTCCGCGATGGAGAAGGAATAATTTATTACTTGAGCGGTTATTTCGTCAATTTAGGAAATAAACTTATAACAATATCAATTACGGTTATTTTCTTCGTTAACGATTTTTATTTATGAACAACTCGCGTGATTATGAGGGGATCCTTCTACAGTCTACCCTCCATATATGCACCCTCCATATATGCACACCCTCCATATATGCACGCCAAGTCTTATTCCCAAG